GAGGAAATATAAAATTTGAATAGCACCTATTAAAGAAAGTATATTCCTAGCTTGAAAACCTACCTATATGACAACAGTAGGCTCATATACATTTTAACTGATAAATTACATCAATTAAAGCAGAAAAAAGAAGGAACACTTCTCCCCTCATTTTAGGAACTCAACATTGTGCTAATCCCAAACTGGATATAGATAATAGAAGAAAGAAGTATGAACATAGATAGAAATTTGTTGAACAAAATAAAATATTAGAAGTCAGATCTGGCAGGATGTAGAATTGTTATACGGATGGCAGTGTTGGTTCAGCGTTGGAAGATCCACCCCCTAAAAGTCATCATTTTAACAGAGGAAAGGAAAAAGCCATATGAACCTGTCACTAGTTGGAGAAAAAGTATTGGACTAAATTCTACAGCTGTTCATGGTAAAAGCTATCAGGAGACTAGAAGTAGAACAGAACCTTCTCAACAGATTAAAGACATGTACTCCATACTTTCAACGAGAACACCTTATATGAATGGAGAAGATGCAATACTTTCTCTTTAAGGTGGGGAACAAGGACAGATATGCTTACTCTTTATCTGTCCCTTAAACTTTTTTTGTTTTTCAATGATACAGCTTTTTATTGAAAGGTAAAAGTTTGCATTTGGTATCCTTTTGCACAATTAATGTGATCTTTGCTGTTGTACATATGCTGATAATTTGTCATTACCTTGGCTGGGGCAACTTGGTTCAAGTTTGGACAGAGAGGGTTCTGTATGCCACAGGTTCACCACCACCCGTTTAGGGTATTCTTGAGTAATCTGCCTTGGAGAAATCCAAGATTAATATTCATTCCAAGAGTACTGTTTTATAATTATAAAACTGCCAGGATCTCTTGCCTAGAAATATTAATAATTAATACATCTGTGCATTCGTCTACTCAACAATTTTTGCTGTGCGCCTTCTCTGTGCCAGTTCTTACTGAAGCTCTCTTTTGAGCCAAGGATAAAGTACCGCCTGGGATTTGGGGCTCGGGCTGCGGGGACACCGCGAGTTCGGCCAGCAGAGGGCGTGCTCACAGTGGTATCCCGGCCAGCTGGCTTCCAGGTCCCTGCTCTCCCCGCCCCTCGCGTCACGAGACGCCGCCGGGAACCTGAGGTGCTCGGCCTAAGCCTAGCTATTTTGTAGCCCGTGGCCGGGGTGGCCGCTGTAGGTGCTACCACAAAGGCTAACCCGAAGGAGCGGGGGAGGCTGGTGGAGTCGATGATTCCTCCTCCAAGTCAGGTCCGCTCCGCACACTGCCTCACCATTCGCCCCTCACGTCTCCCTGAGTGTTTGTATGAGCTCTTTTGTAAAGGGAAGCTCCGGTGACCAAGTAGGGGGAACCCAAGAGGAAGCTCCGGTGCCTGGGACTCGGTCTGCGCCCTCCACACACGCCGTGGGGGCGGCTGGGCCCGTGGGCCGCCTGTCCCTTAAACTTTGAAACCTAGGCCCCACCAAAATAGTCTGGCAATAAAATGACACAATTGGGATAGGATTGGCAAGGTAGAAGCAAAATCTTTATATGTAGATGAAATGATCATCTACAGAGAAAATACTAA